TCAGAGCCCTTGGCCTCCACCAGCTCCGAGCTCCTGTGGGCGATATAGACCTCGGACCGTCTGTGGGGGTCTGTGGCGCATGGTCACCGGGTGGCGCTCTCTTGGCGCTTCTTTCAAGTGAATCTGTCCGTTGGCGAACTCGACCTGCTCCAAGACACTCCAAGTGCCCGAGGTTTGAGGGAAGACCAGCTCGAATCAGCCAACGCCCGGCTGTGTCAATAAGGCGCGCTCTCTTGGTTGGAGGGTCTCACTATTCTAGAAGCTCTTTTCTCCAGGGCATGTTGTTTCCTTGCACCCAGTTGCGCCATTTGCTCCCACTCCGAAACTCACGGTGCTATCAGCATCCCCCCCTAACTAGAAGAAGATCACCCCAAATATGTTCAAAGGAATCTCTTCTGGTCGTGCGAAATGAGGCCATGTCATCTGCCAAAGCCTCCGATCAAAAGGGACCGGCGGTCCATCTTCCTTGTACCAACCAGCTGGCCCCATCCACTTCCACTGTTCCTCGCGGAACTGTGACCTCTTCAAACCTCCCCCTACAAGTCAATGACCTCATTTTACTGGAGTTGGTCATGCAAAAATGACCACAACACTACCAGCTACCTAAGGAGGTCACAAACAGATCAGGTTGGTCGACCTGGATCAGTCTGGACCGACCAAACGTCCACCGACCGGTCACCACCGGCTTTGCTTCGAGGGTCGCTGCGGAGGCGCAAGCCCGCGACATCCGACTCGGGAAGCAAGCCGTGCCTCGGACGCGGCTGCCGGGCCCGACGCGACATCGGGCATCGGCGAAGCAGCGATGGCCTTCCAACCCAATATAATTAGAAGTGATTCCTCAAAAAGGCCTAGAATGCATGATGAGGTTTTGTTGATTTGGTGGTGATGAGAGCTTTAAACATTGATTTTGATTGGGGTAGGATAGGTGCTTTTGGGGAATCCGGTGGTGGTGGAGAATTATGACTATGACCACTTCTGGAGACTCTGTGCGTCCAGTTCATCGCTCGGCGCCTACTTCTCCGGGTCAAAAGACGTCCTCAAAGTACGTCGACCGAATGATCGACTGCAATATACCAGCACCACCCAAGGGGTGGTTATTAGGTAAATACATCTTATTCAGGGGGGTCTATAAACCATCCTTTGGGTGGGGCAGGTGCTTTATTTATAGATTATATATCAAACTGGCCGGTCAGTGGTCAGTAGGTGGAAACAGCAACTGACTAATAAGATGTTGTTTTCACATGCCGGTTCGGCGTTGGTTTTCGGAACCGGCTCTTGCACCGACTCATTTGGCCCCGGCGACCCCCAAAAAACAGTCTGCTCTGCCTGAAAAGGCATGATGGTGTCCTCTGGACGGGGCAATCCCAATGGATCCAATTGGATTGCTGGAAACGTGCAGGCCGAGATTGGCACGGTACCGTGGGTGCGAACCGACCCAATTCGCATCCATCCCCCTGGCAGCGTCCATCGGATCTTTCTCCAAAACGGTTTCAAGTCCCACCCCGAAGTCCATCTCACCGAAGTCCACACCCAGCAGGACAACCCAACGCCAGCTCGACCTGATGGAATCGATCCCTTTTGATGATCGAGTTGGGGGGCGATGCCAGTGCTTGGGCAACTCCCTCTAGCAGCTCCCGAGTTCGGGGAAGAACTGGGTACCCTGGACCGTTCCGGCTTGCGATCTTGGGTTCTCTATGGTTCCCTAGGTATTAAGCCAATGGACACAACCTGGCAATCTGTAGTGCAAAATCCTTAGATCCATGCTGGGGGGCCCACCATAGTAGACATTCTCTCAGGGAATTTTCTACTCTCCCCGGGCCGTCGCGACCGAATACACCGGCGCTCGCACATCGCGACCGAACGCTACTCTCGGTCGTGTCCGGTGCCATGACACTCATGGAGGTCTCTGACGCTTCGTTCCTCAAAGGTCCTGCGACGAGGTCGAGGGGAGAAGGAAGGAGGATGGGAGGAGCAAGAAGAGGCAAGCATCGGAGCAGAAAAGACCCGGAACGCTCATGGTCGACCTGGATCTTCCAACTGTGACAGTCATGTCCGTCGTTTCATCATGTTTCATCAAAATCAGCCAAGGTTGGCAGAAAATTTGGCATAGTTGGTCGGACCTGAATCTGGGGTCGAAGCAACCCCCATAGGTTTTGGGAAGGGACCGCGTGTGGGCTCAGGAGTTCCTCATGCTTTCTGCGTGGTTTTGCTCGTCCCTTCCGGTGAGTGGAGAAGGGGCGAGCTGGCGTGCAGGGGCCCTTCTTCTCCAGCTGGCGGACTCGACGTCCACATGGAGATGCTGCAGTGGCTCGGCGGACGTCGGGTTTTCACGGGCATCTGAGGAACCCCGTGGGTCGGCAGCAACGAGCATCCATGAAGATCAATCAACATTCAACCCATGGGAACCAAGAACCTACAAATCCCTAGGCCTCCAGTCGTACCGAACCTGAGGTTCGGTGGGACGACCGGGGTCCGGGTGCCATTGTCGGGTCCAGTCATGTTTAACCTGAGGAGGTACGACTGGAGGTGTAGGGAATTCTTTCTGAACCTGTCCTTCGGGGAGGCCTCACTTTCATTCATGTGACGTTCATGTCACGCAGATACTGTTTACACAGGGATGCACCATGATGCACCTGTTGCTGAGTCAAGGATGCTAACAAAGCTAATCAACATCACATGATCCCCTATAGAACCGTGTGGCACTTCGTGCCCTTCGCCAAAACGATGCCTTCGAAAACTGCCAAACCACATCGATCTCTCCTCGAAGCAACCTGAAGTGCCAGGATCGCCTCAGCTCGGGTGCCGCCGCGACTTGGGCCCCACGGCGCCCACGGGTTTAAGGGGTGGACTTCTGAGAAAGCGTGGACCACAGTGGAAAGAAGGTCATCATCCAGAAAGGCCAGTTTTTCCATGCATGTCCATGCCATCTCACCCTGCAACCTGTTCGGAAACCTGGCTGTTTGGAAGTCGGCTCCTTTTCGGGTGGAGGTTGGTCTCTTTGAGTGGGACACCGATGCCGGGCACAACAGGGCACCAGTGGACCCAGGAACCAGGCTGCGTGCACGCGCACACAGCGAGGCGTACACAGCTCGAAGCTCTCTCGCTTCTTCGGAGAAAAAGAACTGCGCCAATCCGAGGAGTATCAGCCACGGAGCCAAGAACGAGCATCGCATCGGATGCGAACGCTACCTCTTCATCGGAAGGTTGGCCAAAGGCGACGGACTCTGCGCCTGAGGCCTTGCCACGTGGAGGGCTTTGAGCCATCTTGTTGGACTGAGCATGTTGTTTGGACCATCAAACCCTTTAACCGTCGGAGGTCATCCTGGGGGCTGTTGGAGGACGTGACATCGAAGTGTTGAGAGGAAACAGCACTACGGATAGGAGGCGAGCTGCAACTGGAGGCTCCCATTGACAGAGCTCCTCTTCACGGTCCCATCCAGATGATCTACCTGCTAGCTGTTTATAGAAACAATAGCTATATACACTATAGCTCATCCACTAGCTCATCCGGGTCATGTCACATAAGGTACTGGAAGTCAGCTCAATCTCCTGAAGGACCAACGCCCTGACCCACCTTGGGGAAGGGCTTTGATGCCCCAAGGCCGGCCGGGCCGCGTGGCGCGCGCTGGCTTCGGCTCTTGAGCCCAGAGACGGAGGGTTCGGAGGGTGATCAGTTGGTGCTCGGATTTCTGAACAAGTGACGCAAGTGAAAGGTTGAAACATGTCAAAGTAACTCATCAAGTTCCATCAACTCATCGAAACCACCACCTGGTTCCAAAAGGTTCTTAAACATGTGGTGGAAACCGGACCAGTCCCATTCACCACTTCTCTACCGCGAAACACCCCGCTCCCGCGGCCGTTGGTTTCGGGGCTCCCACTTGGGCCCGGGCCAAGTCGTAGAGAAAAATCAGCCGGTTCGCTGACCCGGGAGTCGAAAAGCCGTGGCGTGGAAGCCTTTAGAAGATTTGGAAAGACCTGTGGAGCACCTTAGGGGAAAGAAACGCCCGCGGGGACGAGCAATAAATGTGTCTGCCACGCCCGAGCTTGAGCCAAGATGCGTGCAAAATGAGTTAAAGATACAAGAGCAAGTGCCCAGAACACATGCATAGTTGATCCATTCAATGCTTTTGGTAGCTCACAAGGTTGCTGCAACTATGGCATTCTTTGGCTGCGCTGATGCGAGGATCGAAGCGGGCCGTGGTCGCCGCCGCAAAAACAGCAGCCGGCAGCTGGCCCGCAAAGGCGACTGACTTGCCCAAACGCTCCAAACAGCGTTTGTTCCCTTAAAGAGGGATTTGAGACCCCCAACACCTCCATAGAAGGTTCGGATCTCTCCAAGATGGTGGAGGATGGGGCAAAACCTGCAGCCAATGATCTTCCCCTCCCGTTTTCCTGCCGCAGCTACTTTGAGATCTGGCTGATGGCGGGTCTTTAGATATCTTCAGGTGAGGAGAAATGCATGACATCATCATAATCTCCATGGGTTACGCCTCAAGAAGCTTGATTCTGAACAAACCCAACCAAGCCTGCAGCCGTGCAGCGGACCATGCCCAGTGACCTTCACTCACTCGGGTTCAGAAGACCTGGGAAAAAGCGACAGTGGGTGGGAGCTCACGCCGCAGTAGTGGTCACTATTAAAAGGAACATATATCATCAATCAAGAAAAAGACAGGTAACCGCAACCTGCTTCAAGTGGGTCTCGCAAAAATTGCAACATCTAGCTGAAGCAAGATTGATTCCAACAGCATGCGAACCACCAAAAGGTTTGCAATCATGTCGCGATCGTTCAATTTGTCTTCACATATGGCTGTGGGTCAAAACCATTGACCTCTCCAATGGTCTATTCTGTTCATTTTGGTGACTTGGTTTTGTCACATCCATAGTACAAAGAATATAACAAAGAATATAATGCAAACGCATCCACGCTAATCGATATGCATCATTTGCATTCTGCTTTGTCAACCCCAGGCCCCCTTCTGACCCGTAGCAGGGCCAACAATTCACTTGAACCCAACCATTCGCTGACCGCCGTTGTGCCAAGTATCGCAGTTCTTCGACTGATCACCGTTGGGCCGCAAGCACTGGGCTAACTGAACCAGCTTCAGGAGGGCATGCATGTACCTAAGTCAAGGCCCCCGCTCCTTCTTTCAACATCTTTCAGCAACCAACTGCATATTAGAAACTTGCCCCTGCAAAAAACTCCTCGTATAGGCACTTGCCCCTGCAAACAACTCCTCGCAGAAAAATGGAACATCTGTTCACCCCAGCTTGCAAGGACCATCCAAAGAATTGTTGGAACTGGTGTGGCGGCGCTGGACACGGTTTCCAATACATTTTGAGTGGGGCATAGTAGAGCTCTACACTTCTCTCTCTCTCTCTCTCTCTCTGACGAGCATGTCTCGTCCCGAAGTCGTCTCACAAAAGAAAAACCACTGCAACCGTTTCCCCTGCATTTCTATCGATTCGAGGGTCTTCTTCTTTTCGGGTTCGAATCGCAGGGTTCACTGGACACACCGCCACCTCAAAGAGTCTTATGGCATCCTGTGCTGAGGTCTGGAGCCAGGTGTCGTGCAGCCAGGCTCAGGCACAGTCTCTGAATTCAGACTTCGGCACTTCTGAGAGTCTGGGTCCATGTCGTAGGTGTTGTAGTTATCTCCTCAAGACTTGCAAAGGTGCCAGGAATCTGGTCCAAACTCAGGTTGGGCCAGCTGGGATGTATCAAAGGCATGCAAACTCAGGTGGCGGCCACCATGCAAGCAGCCCAACACTGGGGTGAATTTCATACTCAACGTTAGACCATTAACCGGTATGGTTTCACCATATCACTGGCCTGACCCGAGTCAAATCTACCCATCCGACGCTGGTTTTCGGTGCCCTGTCCCACCCTCTTCGCGGTCAAGAGGAAGTCGTCACATCCCTTCCGTCCGTCGAGCGTCGGTTCCGCCGGTATTCGCGGGCACCCTTCATGGTGCACGCCGCCACATGGGCCACGAAGGTGTTGTTCCAGGTCTTGTTGCCTGCTCGGCCCAGCTTCGCGGGTGCCACGGGGCCGGTCTTTTGCGGTGTTCGGTGGACTTCTTGAAAGACCGGCTCTTCAATGTAGACTGTTGATGCATGAGTTGAACATATTCCACATCGAAGAGGTTTTACCATCTGTTCATTGGCTATGTCTCACTGGTTCCCACCGCTACCCGCTGCAACACACAGCAAGGGGGCATGTGGGCGCGCGCGTTTTGAATGCCCCTTGTTGGTTGCCAAGGTGCCCAAAGTCAGTTTCATGTAGCCCGCCCTGGCAGCCAGGTAGTCCAAATTCGAACTGTTAGTGGCGATCTCGTCCAATTGCTCTAGGACCTCGGAAGGATCTCATCCACATGTTTCAGAGTGCTCTAAACACTTCCCCTCGGTGGAACCAGTGGGTTCCTATTATAGTGATTGTGCATTCTTGCGCAGTTCGGATGCAAAACTATCTGCCAGATCCTGAGGGATGGAGATGATGGAGCATGGATTTGGTCCTCATATGGTCCCCGCTTTAGCTTGGACTCTCTGCAGCTGTTGAAGCCTCTGCGGGTGCGCCCTTGCGTCCTCAAGAGTGAAGTGGATGCTTTGATCTCAAATGCACTTCAGTTGCGAGCAAGTGAGACATCCTACAGGGCCTGAGCGGTCGTACTGGTCGTACCCTCCATTCGCTGAGAGAGTATAATTACGAAGCAACACTCCCAGAAGCCGAATCCGAGCTTGGAGCTTCTAAGCGTTCAGAACCTGTTCTCCTTGGCAAGCGCCTGGCAGCCTTCAGCATCTTCATGGAGCAGAATGGCGCTTGGTTGGGCGGTGGAAGCGTTTGGAAGCGCCCAGGGCGGGCTCCGGCTGGAAGGAAAGGCCTTCCAACCCCGGGAAGTCAGACCCCTTCTTGGAAGCGATGCACGAGATTTGAGCATGATACAGCATGAATCACTGGAGGTTGGAAGATGTTGGAGCTGTTCCGATTGGTTCTTCATGCATCTGCATCCCTGTTGACCGTTGATTTTAAGGAGACATCTCCCCCAAAGACCTGGCGGAAGGTCATGTAAGGGGGGTGGTATTGATCAAGGGACAGCATCCAGCTGTTCCATGCTGTTCCAGCGTTCGCTTGGTGCTCTTGGTTCTGGGCCGGCGCACTTGGGGGTCTAAACCCCACACATGGAATCGGTGAGGCCGGTGAGGCCTTCAAAGGTGCGTTCTCTTAAGCCATCTCTTCCCCCTGAAAACATCTGGATTGTCGGTTAGAGTTTCTGCAAATCTTCTTGCTCAAAAGGTTGTCCTGCTCGAATGCATTGCTAACTGCTCAACTGCTTTCTTTTGCAGGGATCGTGCAGCAGCCTGAGTCCACCTGCTAAGGGTTCCAAGGTTAAATAAGTGAGGCGGCCGCGAATTCATAAAATAAATGATCTGAATCTCAAACGATCATAAAATCACACCTCACTAACTCCATCTAACTCCAAAACCAGCGTACAAAGAGCAAAGCCCTGCAACGAATTGCCAGAGCCACCGAGAGCTTTTGATGTTCTTTTTGGTCTATCTCGGGGGTCTTCCAATGGATCTTTGCCCGGACTAGTGAGATATGACTGATCGATTGCATGGAGGATCATCTCTGACTCACGTTCAGTGGATGGCATGGCCTTTGGGATCTTTGGGAATGCAAAGGTCCTCTATCAATAGGATGGAGAAACCACTTCATTCATAGCACTTTGGGGAACCCCCAAACGCTCCATGGAACTTGCACCGCACTTCCTCACCACCATGGTGGTGGCCCCCCAAAAGGGTGGACAAACCCGTCTGAATCGCTGGTCCACAGGATCGAGGTGTTTTTCTTGAGTCCCTTGGAGCCCTAGGGCCCACGGGGACCTCTAGGCTGAGCGTTCGAAGGAAGGCTTCGTTCGTAGCTGCGTTCGTGACGTTCGTTTCGGCCCTCCCAACATCTCCCAAGCTTTCTTAGCGGAAGAAAAAGAAGAACGCCTCCTTGGCCGACCAGACCCACCAAAAGCATCGGATGCATCGGAGGGCGACCCCGCTTCGGATGACCCCCAGAGACGGCCGACCAGACTCGGACCGGTCCGCTCCACCAGCTCGGCCGAGAAGCACTTCTCCTGGGCGCGAAGTGAACTCCCATGTTCAGTGCTTACGAGTTAACAGCCAAGGGGAGGAGGGCGAGCTCACGATCTGCCAGATCATAGATCTAGATCATACATCTCAACATGCCTCAAAACCACGCAAAACCTTGACGCGCCCTTTTTTCTTCAGGCGCCAGGGCTGTGTGACTTCATAGTCAGGGCTACGGAACTTGGGATCTACGAGTAGGTGCCCTTCTCGTAGCCGAGTAGATGCCTGTAGTACACGAAGTCTTTATAGAGGTCCGGGTTCATCAGGTGCAAGTACTTGGCGTTTTCCACCATATCGGCATCATCATTTGAGTGGTCTGGTTCGCCGCCGTCCTGGTACTGCCAAGACAGGCCCGCCTTGTCTGCGCGGTTGATGTCTTCGGCCACAGTCGCATCCAGGATGGCTTGGCGCTGCTCGTGGGTGATCTCGTCCTGGAACAGGAAGTGGACCATGTCCTGATGGGCACCGGACTCGGGCAACTTAAGACAGTTCAAACATGTTAGCTTCTAACTCCCTTCGTAGCGATGCCAGGAGCCCCGAACGTAGTGTTCAAAACACCAACGTTTTTAGGGATGAAAAGGACAAAGTCGCGAGAGGTGTGACAAGAACCAAAGCCAAGTACCCCAAGTCAAGCAAGGTTGGTTAGACGACAACATCTGCCCAAATCCCTACCACTCTGTGGCAAATGAAGCAAACTAGCAACCGCAGCCATCAACATGCTTGCGTGTGCAATTCCTGGTTAGTTAAGAAGACAAACAACCCTGCCAGCTCCTTGATGGTTTGGTTGAAGTTTGCGGAGTTCTTCGTGATGGTCTCGAAGCGTATAATCATCATGTCGGACTGGGCCGCCTTGTAGGCATTGGCCATGTCGATGATCACGTTGATCATGCGATTCCCCATCTCGGGAATTCCCTCCTCGGGTGGCATGACCGGCATGTTGATGCCTAAGGCGGTGTAGATCTCTCCGCCTCGATGGTGATAGATATATGAGGAAAGCACCATGTCCTTGGACGTGCTTAAGGAAGCTGGAACATCTGGGGATAATTCACCCATGCATAGTTAGGGAAAATCTAAAAGCATCACCTTAAATGCAAAAACAGGTGTCCAACGGATCTCGAATGATCATCACTCCACGAAAGCCACCAACTGGTGCACTGAGGGCGCGCAACTCTTTCACACACTCACCCGTGATGTGATTGCTAAAACGGAGCCTTGCCGGGTGCAAATGACACTCTGCACGCATGGGTGAATAGGCGGTAATTGGGCCCCCGTTGGCATCGTAGTCGCAACTATCCGTACCGCCCAAAACATCAAAAGTCCACTTCATGATGTGGTGCAACATTTCCGTCCCAGCTTTGTGACTGGCACCCACCAAGTAGGCCCGTTGCTGCCATGCGGGCAGCGGTCGCCGCTGTCGCGAGCGAGCAGCCTCTCGCCCGTGCTCTGCTCGTCCTGCACGTGTTTGCACCAGCCCAAAGCCACAGGACGAGTCGTCACCCTCCCCGTCGCAAGTCGAAGCCGGCCATGAGGCCGCAGCTGAAGCCCAAGCGAGGAGACCTTGGATTCGAGCCAGGAGAACTCAAACTTTCAAAATCTTTTAGACGGTATATCTCCCATTCCCTGTAACAGTGGATAAGGATGGCTACTAAAGACCCTTCTCCAAAATGGTGATGAAGCAAAACCAAGAGACTCAGATTGAGACTCCACAAAAGCATTATGAAAATGAAGGCGGTCTTCGCTGGGGTAGAGAGGGGTTGCTCCACCCTGATTCTCTCACAGAGCTTGAGCCAAATCAAAGCCAAGCTGCGAACAGAGCTCAAGCCGGAAGAGGTCATGTTAAGAGTCTTCGCCCCAACAAACAGGCAATGATCATTGGCAATGAGATGGCAAGCAACGCATCAAGAGAACGAAAACGAAGCAAAGATCTCACACCCCCTGCCCACGCCTTGCCCCCCTTCCTCCCTCGACCGTGCGCGTGCGCGCGTGTGCCGAGCATCTCTTCCTGCACTCGTCCTTCCATGCCAGCTCGGGTCTCTCTTCCTCGTCTCACCGTTTTTTCACCACGATCCTGACGGAAGAATTGGCATCAACTCTGGCCAGTCGCTTTGCTTGAGAAACAGGGTTTTCAGTGGTCCTTTTGGGTCAGCGGCTTGCGGTGGCACCTCCATGGTGGGCACCATTTGTCTGTGCCACCATGAAACTCCGCCAACTCAAAGACTTGCAATCTCAGGTCAAGCCAACACCTACAGAGGTTAAGTGACCTTATAGGACCCTACTGGAGTACCTATAGGATAGTCTATAGGGTTCTTCAACCTCTGCTGGCAATCCTCAAAAGACCTTCGACCTTCGACCCCCCTGAGACCCACCAACCCCGCTGAGACGTGAACGCTTCGGGGTTTCTCCATCAGTTTATTGGGCCTCCGGTGGAGGGAGGCCCGGGTGACCAACCAGGCCTCCCTGTGAAACTAATCCATTTCGATCGCCACGCTGGCAGGGAAATAGACCAGTCTACCCAGCCAGGTTGGGCCCAGCCAGGTTGGGAGTCCCCCTCCTAAAAATCATATCAAATACCATGCCGCCGTGCCCATCTTTAAAGTCTTTCAAGAAGGGAGCCCGCCACAAAACCCAACACATCGCCACCAACAACGCCACCCAAAAAACGCCGCCGGCCGCTGCGTGCTCCAAAAACGCGCTACGAGTGGCCAACTCCCTGGGGTTGTGCAAGCGGCGGATCAGGATCTCCTTGGCCACCAGCGACGCACAACCGCGCGGCGCGACGGCGCGACGCGACGGCGCGGTGGGTTTCGGACATCGACGGCATGTTTCGAGGGCGTCCACGGTGAAGGGATTTGCGCGTAAGAAGAGCGGCATCAGTGAAAAGCCATGTAGTTTAAACATGTCAAACACGCTTCTGCACCTGGCGACCTCTGGAATGATGGTCGTGCTGAAAGATTGAAGTGATACTTCAGGCCGCTACTTCAGGTCGACGTGCCCATGAAACGGGTCGCTGCCGTCCCGGCGTCTAAGGCCTCTCGCGACGGCTGCAGCAAGGGCTTCAAGGTGGTCACGGCCAAATCCGGAAAGCCCTTGTAGTTCTCATCGGCCTGGAGTCCGCAGGCGCGAATCGGATTTCGAGCTCGGGCGGCTCCTGTGGTTGGGGTATGGGTGATGTGGCTCCAGTGAGTGGAGGTGACAGGGGCACCCGACTTCGTTCAGCACCCAACTTGATGGAACTGGCACCAGCCAGTTCCGTAGGAAACTGCTGGGTTTTTCCGGGTTCGAAGAAACTGAGATCTGACTCTGAAGGATGCAGCTGGGAGACCTCAGTGCGACTCTTCTGGGTTGGATGGTTTGGGATTGACGAATGATGTGGCGGCCTGAAATCGGTTGAGGCTGCTTTGCCTTCATCTCCGGGTCAGTCTCTGGAGAGCCCTTCTCAAGGATGTGACCTATATAGTTGTAATGATACGATCATCCAAAGGCTCATGGACCCTCATAGCCAGGGTTTTGACCCCCACATATACATTGTCATAGCTGGTTTCTCTTCTCCCCAGGGTCGGAAGAAAAGCCGTGTGACGTCGCGCGACGCCTTCCTTTGCCAAGCCCCCACGTGGTAGCGGACAAAGTGCTCGACCCAAGCAGTGGCATCCTATAGCGGTCGAAGAAAAACCCGGAAGCTGACTCGGACCCTGACAATGGCACCCTGAAAGGCTGCTTTCCTCCACAAGCCAGTGGTGTTTAGGGTTCATGCCAATCTTTGGCGAGGTACCCGGCGAAAGTGTGATACTCCCAAATTGAGGCACTTCCAAACACACCTTGAAGGTCACCCCTTTGCTCTTCGAAGGTTCACCTGAACATAGAAGGCATCTCAAAGAGACAGCTGGCCTTGCTGGTCGCTCAAAGGGAACAGGTATCCTCGCTTGTTGTCGAGGCACGAACTCTTCTTTTTGCTTCTTTTTGGCAACTGACCATGTAAGGCTAACAAGCTATTTCATGCTATTTCTACCATCAGTTATATATTTTATTTTTGATATTAAGATTATAGAGTAATAGCATCCCCGTGTCAATTCAGGGTGGAGGGTCTGGACACTCATTTTATAAGTATAAAATGGTGAAACCAACCCCCTATTGCACATAAAATGCATGTAGTACCCCACCTAAACTGTAAAACCATAAAATCACAAACCCTCACGTCCAAACCAAGCGCCATCAAGCGCCATAAATCCATTTACACCTATGCATGGCTGCCCAAACAAAAACAGTGGGCAACCCGGTGTCTGCAATCTTCTGATCAAAATTTCCAAGACATATGAACAGCATTGAACTATAAAATTAAGGGCCCACCCCCCAGTCAGTGGGGCCATGAAACGTTTTATAGTAGGGGTGGACCCCTGTGATTTCATAGGTGATATAGACATGGAGATGTAATAGCGTATCATTTCTTAACATCTCACCACCTATAGAAGGTTTAAAACAAAAAAACACCTGCGGAGTATTTCGTTTCGTGATGTGGGTCGTCTTCATTTCGCTCTCGAACTCTTCCGGTCTCGGATTGGTCCTTAAAGGATTCACGAGACTTCAGCTCCAGTGGCGGATTGCTCCAGTCGATAATCTCCTTAGGGCTTTCTCTCGGTCGAGACGAGCTGCAAAGCTGCGAGGGTAAGACTTGTGGCTGATGCCCTGGCAAGGCTTGAGGCTTCACCATCAATGGGCCAACGATTGTTTCCCTTAGAGTCCATCTTGGGCCATGGTTCTGATAGGAAATGACAAGAAGGTCACTCAGGTTCCAGGCATATGATCATCTTTACCTCATAGTGGTGGTGGACCAGTGCCTCTTGGCCCCAGAGATGTGACCGGTGCCTCTTGGCCCCCTTCTGCAGGAGCGGCTGCCAAGATTCCAAGCCATTCGGCCTCGGTGCGGCAGTCTTGCCATGGCAACATGGCATGACCGGGGGGATTTGCATGCTATTTAATGGATACAACATGGTGATCCACCCCATTGACGCATTCAATGGTTCTTAGTATTTGGAATCAGGTCCTGTAAGGCAGTGTTGTTCCCTCTCATCTTCAATCACTTGCACTCGGTTTCATCCATTCACCCTCCCCAATGGGGAAACAAAAAACACAAACACGTATACAGTATATACCTAGGTTCAGAAGAAGTGAATCCTGTCCAGAGCATCTTCCTTCTTCTTCACCAACCCCCCCACCAAACCCGCCCACCAAACCAAGCCCCAGGATCGACCAGATCCGACCGCCACGGAAAGCCGCCGAAGCGGCCCCAGGAGGTCTTCACTGTCCGGAGAGTTGTCCAGGTCGCTGGAATTCGCCTCCGGCTCCGGCGCCTTCTCCGCGGTGCACCTGAGCGCCGCAGCGCGGGCGGTCCACGGCGCGGTGCGCGGTGCGCGGTCCACACCGGTCTCGCTGGGTCTCAGTGGGGTCGTGGAGGTGGAAGAGATGAAGAGATGGTCCTGCTGCGAAAATGGTAGATGTGGGTCCATGGGCAAAGGTCCTAAGTACGTAATAGGATCCGAATAGGGTTTGAGTTTGGACCTCCAAAACGATGGGCTTGCCTTGTTTTACAGGAGACTTGGTGACACCGAAGCTAAGACGCTACACAACTTCGGTAGAAGCCGTGATCGAGGAGGCTTTCTGCGGGAATCTTCATCTGTTTGTGCTAATAAGTTCACCCCACAGCAGAACCTGCCACTGGTGGAAGCTGCCACTGGTCAAAGCGGTTCAAGCAGCCATGGCTCCTTGAACCAACATGCCTGGATCTTCCAAACATATGCAACATTTCATGCCTTGTGGCTGGTTTTATGGATGAAAAGGCGGAACTTCTGCATATATAATATAGTAGTTGAACAATTCAGGTATACAGAGCCCTTGTGAGGGAGAAGCGCCTGCCAAGCCCTTTCAGAAAATGCAACTCTTGATTTGCAGTTGGAGCAACGTGCAAGAGAGAGTTGTTAAGCGTGCTCACTAACCTCCCTAGTTACTAGAGACTAGTGTTTGCGTGTCGTCTACATGCACTTTCCATGCATGCCGCATCCACTTACTGCTCAAGTGGAACCTCGCCCCAGAGCCAAAGCACATGCCATTCTTCTCCATGACCTTACCTGAGAAAGGAGCGCATGCAGGAACCAAGCAACAAGCGTCTTGAAGGCAACATGGTGGAATCGCACAATTATATAAATTAAAACCCAGACACGACCCATGGGACTGCAATATATGCTATATACATTGACCCCCGTTCAACCACCCCTCGAGCCCAAAGACGAGATGATGTAGATCCCACGCCGATGGGAGAACGACGTCTCATCTCCAATTGCTGTGCACCGCGACTCTCCACGGCTGTTCCGGCTCCCTGTTCGAATAATGGACAACCCCACCCTAGGGCTCCAGCCATACCTTCTTAGAAGGTGTTGAGGGAGGGGCCCAGGAGAGTCCAGTCACACCAGCGAGTCCCTTGGGCTGAGCTCCTCGGCGTGGCCTACCGAACTGCTCAGGCGAGGTGCAGCATTTGTAGCCCCATCGCTTGCTCTCAGGGTCAAACAAAGAGCCCCAAACGGCAGTGTGCTCGTTCACGAGCCTCAGCCGGCAGGCCCGTCGCAGCAAGCTGTTTGGGTGGCTGCTGTCCTCCCTTGAAGACGGCCACTGCTCTGTTGACTTCAAGACTTTCACCAACACAGTCTGGCAAAAAGAACTAAAGAAGTTCCTCTGTCAACTGCATGGGGCTGAACACATGCCTCGGCCACAGCACATCAAGAGCCAGCTGCGGCTGTGGGTCAAAACAGGATACCTTGGTTGATCTCCTGGAAGGCCCAGCTACATGGTGGCCAGGGCTACAGATTTTGACCCGCCCGCAGCTAGCCTTCCTGAAGAATGCCCATCAAGCAGCACGTCCTCTTTGTAGAGAGTTGACCTGAGGAGGGGCTGGAAATGGACTTCAAGATCAGTCTGGGTGCACTTGCAGTTGATTTTTGGGCGAGAGGCTTGCCATTCCTCTAGAGTTCAGTGAGCAACCTCTCATTCTACTGGACTTGGGGTAATGTGGTCATGTGTTTTTACCGTGGGTTTGGCCAACACCACACCACGGTCACACCACGCGCCAACACCATGGTTTCAGGACCCGGAGACGGTCTTTCGGCCAGCATTCTGAGCCTCCGAGCTCCAAGAGCCTCTTCCCCGGCGCCTCCACCGGCGAAGACGCGCCGGAAGCGCCGTCGGGCGCAGCGGCCTCGGCCTGGCGGTCGACCGGTCAGACCGATCATAGAGGGGTCGGTACACGTCAACCGAGGGTCGCATCTGATGCCAAAGAGTTAGCCTTCACAGGGTACCCAACTGGTATTCACACCACCTTCTCCACAGGGCTAGCACCAACCCCAAAGACCTTCTTCATCACGTGATACCAATTATAGTTATAGTGTATGTTGCCATGTGTTGCCCAATCGGCCGTGCAATGACTTGGGCGTGGGGCGGAGGGGAGTGCAAAGAAACCTTGGGCTTGACCCACTTGAGATAGTGAGGCCTTAAGACTGCACTCCCTGATATCATCGGGCAGTGGCCCCTTGGATGACCATCTTTCACAAAGAGGCCACCATCCACTTCGGTGCAGGTGAAAGACTCATCCCATCGTATTCTTCCTTCATATCGCATGGCCATAGATGTCGATTGTGGACGAAATTGCTGAAAAGGTGAAATACGTATAAACAAGGAGAACGTTAGCCGGATCTATCAAATGCATAGCTCCATTTATTATATATACTTCCATTTATATATATAGCTCCATGAATCTAGGAGATCTCGCGGAATCATCGCCTCTCGATGCTGAGAACAGACTTGAGACCGTCCAAGACCCTACTCAAGACCTCTACTTCTCTCTCTCTCTCTCTCAGTGTTGGAGGATCTTCACAGGTTGGCCACGCTACATGCCATTACCCTGGCCTCCGCCATCACCAAAAATGCTTGCCCGGTGGCAGCTGTCTCGGTTCGGGAGACCTTTGATCTGGTCATCGTGCTGATGCGGTCAAGGTTTTTCTGTTGCTTTCGTGCGATGACCTCCTGCTGGCTTGGGGCGTTCTTCAGCTGCACTGATCTTCGGCCAATGGATCGGCATTTTGCTACTGAAGACCCCTCGCATCGTTCCAGCTTGAGCAAGGAGGATGAGTGGCGCACGCAAGTTCTGCCCCATCGCGACCTGTGCTTCTTCTGTGCGACCTGTGCACATCGCTGTAATGCAGTGGTGACAGTACCACCAAGCTTAGATTATAGAGGCACGTGACTTAAAGCCCCACATGCAACTCGAATCATGTCGCGTCCTGAACTAAATACTCGAATCATGTAGCCCAGGCAGTATATGCTATCAATGGATGTTATTATTATAGGGTATATTTGTCTCAACCCACATTTGTCCCCTTCATTCTCATCAATCATCTATATAGAATTCGAATAATGAATTCGTGGAAGATATCAGATCTCACTTGCGTGGGAACCACCGTGGTTCTGCTGCTAAAACCACCGTGTTCGGTCAGGGACACACACACACATCTCATCTCAGGATCTCTGGGACCAACTGAGCGACAATGGCCCTGTGACTTGGAGAACGCCATGGCCCCGGAGAGTTCGGAGGACGACGTTTTCGTGACTTGAAACCACACAGGCGACGTGGTGCCACAAACACAGGCACCAACCCCCTATAGGGATCCAGTCGTGCCGAACCTCAGAAGGTACGACTGGACCCTCCAAACCTACATAGCAGTGTCTCCAATCACCTGAGGTTCGGTACGACTGGATCCCTACAAACTCAGTATTTGGATCCATCTTCTTCCCACTCTTCTATAGTACGGTTTGAGTCGTCTCGTCTTTCATGCGGGTGGACCTGAGTGCAGATGACTCAGATGACCATGATTTTGTTCATAGCAAACAGGATGGTGCCATCCACATCCCAGACACTGCCAGGACGGACTGCCGATCAATTGACCCCCAAAACAACCACCCTAAAAAAGATCGGCAGTCCGTCCTAGCTGTCCCATGAGTCGTGGGAACATGATTCTTCTGGGGAGTGAATGATAATGATTTGGAGCCCATCATCATCCCTGGCCCAGGTGCCTGAACACACGACAGTCCGACAGTCCAGGACATCCATCGACCTAGTGAAGAGCATGTTTAAGAACCACGCTACTTACCACTTCGGGGCCCTTGGAGTTGCTTAAGCAGCTGGGACATCAACAAGATGTTCCTGAAGAAGGGCTTTCAGCCACGGGATTCCAGAGGGAAATCAATTCCATAGCCCTAAGAATCCATTAGTTCCTTTGATTCATCCATAGGATTCCAATAACCAAGAGAGGCTTTTCTCACATGGCCCATATATACCACTATGGGGTCCTAGTAGGGAAAATAACAATAAATTCCCCAAGCAAAATCCAGGTGGCCCCTTCCCTCCCTTTCCCTCCCTGACCTTGGGTCCCCTTTTCGCCACCGGCCACCGGCGCGTTCGGTGGTTCATTCGCCGTCGGGATTTCTCCAACGGCGCGGTCCGAAAACGCATGGCATGTAGAAGCGTCGCAAGCCGCGGCAAGCCTCACATCAACGTGGACCCTAGCCTTCCAAAAGCCATTGATCCTCTATAAGGGCTGAGATGTATGGCATTATATAATGAATATTATCTGCATAAAGCCTATTGAATGAATGGAGGTTGGAATTAGGCCAGGGCAATCATGAGTCGCAGGCTTCGACATGCTCGCGCGAATGGCACAGTCGGGACAGTCTCAGAATGGAGGGGCACCAACCACTGCTACAATCGGCAAAACGATAAAACATGGTAAAACACTCCGTTCTTGTTGGAGGGAAGCGCTTCTCTATTTTGACCACGTTTGACCACCCCGTCCGCTCTCACGCTTCGATCTCGCGCATGAGGACGATGCTCGCACTGCTCAGGTGTGACTGCTGGAAGGACTGCTGGACCTGCCGCACGAAGGGGTCAAAGAAGGAGACGATTGGGACGAAGAGACATGGAACCTGAATGCATGGACCTGAGACCTGCAAGGAGGACTATCCCCAAGCCCAGGGCATCCAGGCAAAGTAATATGTCGCTGGGAGTCCCAGTGGTTCCAGTTCGACTAAAAACCATAGACCATCATAGACCGAACGAATCCCTGGTTCCTTTTATGGTGGTAACTGGGATGCACTGGGATCTTCATCGAACCAGTGGTTTTCAGGTTCCATGTGGGCCTCTTCCAGGACCCGGTTTTCAGTACATGATCCATTCGTAGGGCTCCTGGCCCACATCCGCAGAAGGTAGTTCGACCAGCCAAAGCCTCCCACACCCCCAAGCACCTTCTGAGGATGTGGGCCAGGAGCCCTTGTTGAGGCATGAGATTGAACTTGGGTGGCAAAATGATTCGGCATCTTACCCGACAAGGATCGGATTAAGTCTATAAGGCATAACTCCCCGAACAGAATAGGCAAGTGCCAACTGGGTTTTCAGGGTCTTCCATTTGATGTGATGCTCTGCTCCACAAAAGCCGACAAAACAACGGGTGATTCGTTATTGACATGGCACGGGCCAGGCAGGCCAGGCATCCTTGCCTTCTTGGCCCATCCAATTTTGACAAGTTCAGACTCTGTGCCATCAACGCGCATTACCTTCTGCTCTTCTTCTGCACTTCTGAGAGCATGGCAGGCAAATACCCATAAATTAAAGTGAACAAAAAGAACGAGAGAAAGGGAGAGAGAGAGAGAGAAAAAAAAACAAAGAAGAAAGGGGGCGAGATGAACACGTGAAACAAACGCATCCACCTTGATATGGCTATCCTTGGCCATAGGTCTCTGTCATTTTGCCCGTCCGTGTTTGTTCTGCGCACAGCGGGCATTTTTCAACTTTTTCCCACCAACCCTGCGACTGCAGCAGCGTCTGTTGGCTGATCTAGGGAACTGAGCCTGGCTCGACGGCCAAAGAGTCACCACCACATCAAGTCTACCCAGCCAGCGTCAGGTCCCCCTATATTGAAATACACACCCATAATGTGATAATGATCCCATATTATGTATAACATATAGATCGTTCTTGAGGGCAGCACTTGTGGCCATGCGGCTTTTCTCACGCTGCTGAGGCATCAGAGGTCCTTGAGGACACAAAGGCAGATCCCGGATTTCCCCACCACCTGGATCTGCGGCGGCTTCCAGACGAACAAAGAGCTCTAAGAACAGACACATCAAAGGCCGTGAAGCAGCTGGGGAAAAGGAATCTTGAAATCCTCATTTTATGGCTTAAATTCTGATTTTATGGCTTGAACTGCTTGAACCATTTCTCAAAAAAAAAGCCTCTGAACCATTTCAGATCACGAAGAGTCTGTCTAGAGTTCAGCAGCAGGGTCGTTTTGAGTGTCCGAGCACGAAGGTGAAGAAGATGCAAATGCCTGTCGCGTAGAATCCTGCCGCACCCGTGGCGCACGGATCGCGTCCACGTTTCGCCGATGACGTGTTCGGGTGGGGTCGAGACGCACGTGGTGCCCGGTGGCCGGTGGCGCCCGCGACGAAGGTGCAGGTGGTGCAGGTGACGTGTTCGAAGAGGTGCCTCATCAGTTGGGCACACGGAAAAACCAAATGGCGATAGGTGTCCGGACCAGCGACGCAGAAAAAAACCAGTGGCCCATCCGATCGATCGCTTGCAAGACCGGGTTCGCCCATTGGTCCTACGTCCTCGGAGAAACATCCATCCCAAACATGACTACACACCTGCAGTCACAAGACGGGGTGCTTCATGGAGGTTAGGGGTGCCCAGCTACTCCACTCACTTGGGGCTAAACGCCACCCCGACATGTGACTCCTGGTACTATTGACAGACTTGAATCTATGCCATACACCCTACATGTCCAGGACCGGACCCAGGTCCAGTCTCCTGCTCCTGAAGACCTCAGTGTTAAGAGTCCTTTTTTTTGTCATGTTTTGGGGGGTGTATTGATGATATATGGTATATACCAGCACCCTCCAACAGGTCTGGAGGCATGGTATATGATGATCATATATATGTATGGTATGATCAAGTCCAATCAACTTCGGTTTCATCCTCCTTTCGTCCACACCACCCCGGAGATCGCGCGTCCTCCCCGTCCCAGTATACTCTCCCCCGAACCACTCCAACGTGCGAGACCATCGACGAATCCAAGTGCAGTCCAGCCCCTGAGACTGGAAAAGGATGGAAAACGACTACCCAAACGCTCCAAACAGCCCGACAGGTCCCTCAAAACCCCAGACCCCCTCCATAGGAGGGACCCCTCCATATGAGGGCCCATGAGCCTCCGGCTAGGAACATGAACGAAAATTACCTGCCCCCCCTGGTGGCGGAGGATGACTACCATCTGACTCCCTCAGGTTCCCTGGAAGAAAACAAAAAAGCTTCACCTTCTTCCATCCTCTTTCGTGGGTTTCCCCCACCACTCCCCCCATTCCTCTGCGATCCACGCTACCTTGGGGTCGGACCTGGCCGGAGCGAGCCGTTCGGCATGCCCCTCCGGCCTATGATGTAACTCCGCCCAGCTTCGTCCACCTGCCTGGCGACGGTCGTCGTCTAGACACCGTGGGTTCGGGGAAGGTGAGACATGAGACGCGGACGCAACGGTTCCGAAAAGAGGAGCACGTTGTGACGAAGATGATGAAGGAAGGGGAACGGGAATTGACGATGATTTTATGATAAAATTGCATAAAGGTCTGGCAGGTCGACCTTTAGCTGTGTTCCATGAGCTCTGTCTGTTCTCTGGTCTTCTTGTAACTTGCTGAGGGCTGAGAGTGGCCGAGAACGTGGCCACCGAAATTGCGCACGGCACCTGATGTTCCTCCTCGTGGGCGCTTGTAATGTCTTGTGCCCTAGACTTCCAAGACCGGCTAGAAAAATTGCTGACCTGGTTTTGTAGCATGAAACCTTAGTAAAACACTATACCTTGGGTAATACCTTGGGTATCCCATTACTATTGCCAGGGGCCAATGGATGATGATGGTTAGGTTGCAGGACTTTCACCACCTTCCACTATAGCCGGTAGTTGTCTACACCCTATAGATAATGCCGCGCGTGGCGTAGCATAAGGGGACCCGTACCTAAACCTGGTTGGTGGCTCGAACTCACGAAACATATGACCGTCAGTGGGTTCAATCATCCAGTGAAGGTTGAAAACAAGAACATCTGAAACCACCACCCAGAAACCCATTCCCCTTCCCAGGGACGCCAAGAGTGACCGAAGAGGACGAACCAACATGGACGAGCAAAACGGGTGCAGGTCGACGTCGACCGTCCGGGCAGCCCGGACACTTTGGGCAGCTGGAAGATCTTCAACCAGCCCAAGTCCTCCTCAGGGGGCCTCAGTGGTACGTTTTCACTCTTGTGCCATAAAACCCACGAAGACTTCATCAAGGCCTTGATGCATTGACTTGGCGTTGCTGCAGGAGCCGGGACAAGAAGCTTCCCCTGGCTGCCAGGGAATTTCACCGGTCATTAGGGATCATGGCCACATCACCTGATCGGCAAAACCCGAATCCTTCGTTCCGGTCTGCCCGTGCTCGGTGCCCCACTGCCAACGCCAGGGCTTCAACCTCACACGAGTGGGGCGAAGCCGCCTTCGCCCTGACTGCCTCTGAGAAGGTGATTGGCATTGAAGAAGCTTTTTCATAACTTGGAAGGCTCTGCCGTGGCTCGATGTATGCAATCGGGCATCTCTCCAAATCATTCGTCCCCTCGGATGAGTCTTTATCCGGTTGGGCTAGTGATCTTCTAGGTTCTGGCTGATCACATGATCCCTTAGGACAAGAGAAGAGTTTCCACAGTTGCTTTCCCCAAGCTAAAATCCAAAACAATCAAAAGACAACTTAGTCAGCTGCCTGTACAAAGACTTGGGGGCCCCAGTTTTGATGAATGGCAAAGGTTGTGCTGCCCAAGGTCAAAGATGTCACAAGAGCGCCAACAGTGCTGAAATGCATGTTGAGTTCACCATAGTCAAGCCCAGATTCCTGAAATCTGCACCAATGTGAAATCCATCAATGTCATGGTTCCTGTGCCCAAACGCTCCAAGTACAGTATGCAATAGTATGCAACTATGGCCTACATTCAGTGGCGGTGGTTGGTAGGCCATATTGGCAAACTCTTGGAGGTTTTGGGGTGGGTTTATCAACTCTTGTGCTTCACATAAAGTTCGACTTCCAGCGCCGGAAAAACCTCGGAATGGGGAGAACAGAATCTCCAGAAGTCGTTCACGTGGCGCAAAAAGCACACGCAAAAGGCCCAACAAATGGCCCGGTCGCCCCCGGTCATCGCTTGAGGCTTGCACTGACGCCAAGGCGGCAAATTCTCTTCCTGCGCAAAATGGGAAGACCTACCAGGAGACCCTAAGGGGTGCCAATTGGTGGTAAGGGGTGTCTGTTAACCACCCCTTAGCGTCCAAACAACACCCCCTTAGGGGTCTCCTGGTAGAAGAATCGGTAGCACTTGGGTAGTAGTCGCTCAAAACATGCCGTGCCGTCCAAAACGTCATCAAGAAAAACACTTGACTTCTGTCCCGTCCTCCCGTTGCCCAGCACCTCCAGTTTCTACTGAATAATATTGATATGGATGTTTGAGATATTCTCGCTCAAACGGGTGGGTTGGGGGGCGGTTCAATCCATTTTGGGGTCAACTTGTTGAGTATTGAATGATCTTAATTACATGTGAAAGCACCCGCCTCAAAGGATTCAACCCCCCCAGACTAGCAGTTCGCACCCGCCGGTGGGTAGATGTTCCACACCAACCATCAAGTTCGCACCGGCTGCCTTGGTCCATTCCGGGCCTCCAGATCGTCATCCTCATCCTCCTCATCTGAGAGCATGACCACCTCAAAAGGTCGCTTTCCCGGGTTCATCCGAAAGTGCCCCAAACAAGCCAAACCAGCTACTCAGTGAGTCGTTCTTGGCGTCCTGAAGCTTCGAGAAACTGGGATGAACATCCCAATTCAGTGCAAATGCAACTCTTCAATTCAATCTGCCCCTTTGGATCACAAACATGTGAACACCAAGGAAGTTTCGCAGGAGTGCCAAAACTAAGGAAGTTTCGCAGGAGTCTCTCTTTGGCCGGTGGGGTGTGATCTCACAGGTGCATTTGACTGTACGATCTCCCTCACGATCACCCTTGAACGCAATCTTTTTTTGGGGCTTTGCACACAAGGGCCTGAAATGGCACTATAATCCAAACACTCCATGGGACTGGCATATTTGGCGACCTTGGGGTGGTTTCAAGGGGTGCGGCAATGTAGGGATATATTCCATGCATGGAGTGTCTGGGTCAACTGATGTTCATCGACTCTTTCATATCTTTCATGTGACCAGTGGCCAACCGAACTCACCAAGGCCCACTTGAGCTCGCCTGGCTGGCGGCGTCTGGAAGCTTCTCCTTCAACCCCACCCCTCGACCGGCCTCGACCGGCAGACTGGCCAGGTCAAACTCCGCTCGCGTACGTTGGCGCAGCTGGCGTTTCGGGGGGGTCGGATGGGTGATGATGAGATCTGCAAGGAGAAACTCAATGAGATCCAGTCACAAAGGGATCACATGTTGGGGTGGTGTCAGTAGATGTTCTGGGCACCAACCTCCATTAAGCACCACATGGAACTGGCTGGGAGGTCTTCCTGCCTTTGATTTTGGCGCTCCTTTCTTCGTCCCAATTGGGGGCATTGATGCCCAAACCGCAACCCTTGACGTGAGTGGTTCGAAGATGACTGGTGGCGGTGGGTGGGGTGGGGGTGGTAGGGATCGAGCATGGTGAATGCAAACGTCTTTTCTTGGATGTGCTTCCATTTTCCTGTGGATGGGCCCTCGCGCTTGGGATCGAGGTGTGAAAACCCGCTAGCTTGGTGGTACTCTTACTTGGACTTGTTTCGCCCATTGGGTTTGATCTTGGCGCGGTTTGTCCTCTCCACATAGTTTCCTCAACCATGGGATTCATCTCCCAAAACGATGGGTTTCCGTTCGAACTAATTCTGGTAGTTTTGGAGCTGCCACTATGCCCTGCTATGATCTGCGACGTCGAAGTTTTCCAAACCACGGCTCCTCCGTGGAAAAGGCCCGCGTCCTCAAGCCGAAGCTGGGTAGCAAGGAAGACCTGTGCAGGAGGAAAAAGGGCAGGATTTGAGAGGTCCTCAGGTGCAGGTTGATGACTCCCGCACTTTTCGAGCGACTCTGATATATAAATCATTATAAATCTATACTTTGTTTGGGAGGGAGCATCGGATGATCCAATGACCAGTGACTCATGATGGTTCAGTTGCAGGCCTTGGTCAAAATCGTGATGTTCTTGCTTGCGTTTCCTGGGGCAAACCCAGTTTCTCTGGTAAAATCAAGCCTCGCAAGCTTCCGCGGACTGGCATGCTCAAATCATGCGACTCGCGTGCATCATGTGTGCGGCATCACATGAGTCAACCAAAACGGCCCGATAGGCGTATTCGACAGCTTGGATTGCCTTCCGGAATCGGAAAACAAACATCTTGCGAAGGGAATTCCAAATTCAATGAGAGAGAAGGAGAGTCAATGACCCAGGAGTCACAAGACGGGGTGCCGAACTTGGAGGTAGTCGGGGTGCCCCTGTCACATCCACAGCCCCTGGCTGGGACCAAACACCCTTTTCCGACCATTTGGAGTCAATGATTCCAGATTCAATTCCCCCTTCAGGAGATTCCAATGACTCAGGATGAAACAAAGTCAACTCGTTTTCCAGGTGCAGGGTGTCGGTGCTTTCCGGCCGCCTGGCATCGCCTGGCGTCGAGGTGAATCGCCGTGGAACCTGACCGGTGCCGTGGAGACCACGAGGAAGCGAGATGGAGGGAGATGTGAAAGCTCCAACGCTTTGGGATGGTTCAGTTGCAGGCCCTGCAGGCCTTTCCATCATCCATCTCTAACATCGACGGTTAAGAATGGGACAAACACTACCAATGATATTGGTGAGGGCGCCGTGAAGAAAGTGCTTGCTGTGAATGAATCTTAGTAGACTTGTTTGATCTTGTTTGGAGCACTTCCAGTTCGTCCAACTCCAAGATTCTTGGCCCCTCCCAGCCCAAACCACATCCCTTCGCCTCCCACTACCGCCCCCGAACGAAACGCCCCGTCCAAGCGGGGGTTCCGGGTGTTCGGATGCGACGTCGGACTGGCTCATACCGATCAGTTGGGGTGGAAGCGTTGGAGGGGTGGTGGGATCTGGCGGCGGAATCCGGGCCCTCAAACACATAGGGCTTGGTGAAGGGGCCCTGTGCCCCCTGCGAAGAGGGAGACGGTCCGGCCATAGAGAGCGGTGATATGTACGCCACCATGGATCCTCTCAGATTGGGACCCCCTAAATTCCATGCCGCCATGCCGCGATGGAGCCAGGATCGCGGACCGATCTCCAAACAGACTGCTGCACCTGACCTCAGGCCGCTGGGTTCCGACCATGGACTCCCGGGACTCCCGGACGTTTTGGGACACCCGGACCATGAACCTCTCGCCGAATCGCAGGACCAATTCCGGAGGTCATGCATCTAGAACATGGTTTTCGAAGAGCGATTTTCCAAACAAAAAAGACTTACGATATCAAGAGGCTATAGTGATAGACCACCACTTGGAAGGTCAGACCTTGGGCTCCTGTGGGACTCTCTTGTGGACACCCGCAGGGACGTGAACCGCTGCGGGAGCTCCACTGAGCTCGAGATGATCTTCCCCCCCCGGTGGGGCTATGCAGGGGTTCGGGGACTGACTTCGGGTAGAACGGAAGACAGGGCCATGAAATCCACCAAGTGCTTCTAATGCTTCCTCTTCCCCAAAACAAGGGGGGAAGACAGCGGGCCGGATGATGGGAACAATGTTGTCGACCAAATCTTCACTGCTGGAGACAGGAAGGCGCAAGTCATGCCCATGAAGGCGCAGGTAGCCATGGGAACTTAGAGATCTGAACCAAGTAGGGTTCTACAGGACTTTGAATGGGATAAGTAGCCCGGCGACTCGCGACTGAACATCGTGCGCAGAAACTTCACCCGACTCCGACACAAGCAGGTCCAATTCGGAATGGTTTTTAGTCCGCAGGGGTGGATGTGACTCGATCTCCCCGGGCCCTCTCCGAACGAAGGGGGCCGAACTCCAAACTGCACAAGGAGGTCTGGTGCAGAGAGAGAGAGAGAGAGCAGTCTACACAGACTACTGCAGTCTACACAGACAGAGTCTACACAGTCTTCAAACCAACACAGTCTACGCAAACAAAGAGAGAAACACTCCGCACTCCATCCTCCAGCTGAGCAACGTGATGCCCGCCATGCCCGTGATGCCATGGCGGAAGAAACCAGGCCGCCACTGCCAGGAGGGGTGTTGGCTCCACACCGTGTGTTTTTCACGTGTCGAAATGGCTTCAATGGTCGATTCTGTGGCTCGGCTCCTCGGCTCGGTTCGAGCTGGTGGGCATCATGTAGAACACATGAACTGGGGGGATCTGTGGGCAAGTATGGTCACAAGAAGTGACATGTCGGGGTTGCGTTGAGTCTCATCCAGTGCATGAACCATGGGCACCCCGACTACCTCCATGGATAGCACCCCAATTTGGAACTGTTGGTGTGAGCCATTTCCTCAGCTTAAGGTTTGCCCCACCTTGCCATCTGCATCTGAAAAGCTACTCACTATAGCACAGCCAAATGCCGGCGCACTGCAATGAGGTTTGCCAACTTGGCGCATGCTACTCCGCAGCTCTCGAGCTGGAACCTGTCACCTCAGCCGACTTGGTGGCAGCTGGAGGCGTTTTTGGCTAAGCCCTTGAACCATGTCGTCCCACAATGCCTCTTCAGCCGATCTTTTTGCGAGCGAATGCTGCATGTCGTTTTTACAAGGCGATCTGCGATCTTTTTGCAAGCCACCCTCCCCTCAAAGAGGACATCCCTTCCCCTCAAAGATGAACTTCAAGAGCAGAATCCACCACAGATTCTCAGATCCAATTCTTCCCATGTTCCGATGAGGACGGGGGACCTGGGACCGACCTCAAATGCGCCGTGCACTCGAATTCGCCCCACCGTTCGGTGGGAACGGACGTTAATTGGCGAAGGCCGGCGGGAGGCGGGTCGGCGAGGGTGTGCAGCTGATCAGCTTTGAGCCTCTGCGGGATCAGCAGTGAAGCCAACTTTCGATGCAAAACGTGAGTGTTGGGGTAGTTTGGCCAAACATATTTCCAGAAGTTCAACCAATCCGATCTTGCCAAAAAAACATAAATTTCCCGAACTGCCCTACCGAAAGGCCAAATCCTTCCCCCTGGACCCCCAGGGGTTGTCACACCCTTCACCGGAGTCTGTACGTTCCGTACGTGCCGATCGTTCCACCCCCCAGCTTGGCAATCGGGGATGAAGCGCATCGGCCACTGAGCCTCTGCAGAAAAAGCCAAAAAGCGTCCATGGCATACGGCCAAAGTCGGAAAAACCGTGGCCAATTCATGTGCCCAAAAAAGAAACCGATTCGCGAGCTGTGAAGAAGGCGTTTCCATTAAGGCACAACACATTCGTTGACAATCATATGTTGTTGAATTAATGAACCTATAGGATATGAAATATCAACCGTCAACAGTTTTCAACCTAATAAGCACTGTTACCCACATCTTAGATTGAAGGAACTTGGGGGTGCATCTTGAAGAATCCCTTGAACATGTGATGCCACCCCCTGGAGCTCGATCTTCGTTTCAGAGCAAACCAATGCAAGCTGCGTCTTGCAGCTACGAAGGCCTTGAAGCACGCAGGCTGCCAAACTTCAAAGCTGCTGAATTCGCTGTACAAAAATGCGCAAGAAGAACAAGTCGTACCGTACAACTCTTGATGGAAGAACCCCAACAAAAACCATGAACCATTTGATCTTAGTCTGAGATCAAATGGTGGCGTCCCATCTTCACTTCAATGGTTCTGGTTGGGACTTCAGAACCAAAGGCATCTCAGCCCAGCATACCAGGGACCACCGGCCACATGTGATCCACCGACACGCGAGCTGAGTTGGTGTAAGTGCTCCTGTCGGACAACAGCGACTTCATGTCGGAGTTGCGATGACGCGCACGCCTCCTGGCGAGGAAGAACTCGGTGAGGCGAACCCAACTCCGCTCTGGTTGAGTGGTGTGTCACCCTTTTAAGAGCTGAGCAGGTCATCCTTCTTAGAGAATGGTAGAACACCGTGACACCAATCAAAACGTTAACCAAGTTATCCAATTTTCTAGTCCTTGTCTAGTCACCCGCCATAGTAGAATGCAGCGATCAAGAGCATCCCCTTATCCAATCTGTGTCTGGTGCCTACCTACATTTCGCACACCCAAACGGACTCAACTGGGCTATGATCAGCAAACAACCCCCCCTTGGTCATCCTGAATCATCCCAGCGGCTAACCCTCAAAACAACCAAAACACCAGAGTCCAAGTGTGAACTCGTTTTACCCCCAAAGTAAGTAGTGGTGGATTTTGACTTCCAGGTAGGGTCGTTCATGAGTTGGAAGTTCTTGGAAAACTCTCTCCAAAGCTCTGAGGACCTACCAACATTCACAAGCTTCGCCCGCTTGCTCCACCTCCAGCTCCACCATGCTCCACCTCTCCTGCCTTCCTTCCCCCCATTCAACCTTCGGCCTCACCCACTCCGCACCTGGCTTCCGCAATGATGCCGCGCGTGACCGCGATGCGCACGCAGTAGCGGCGCACGATCTGCGCCAGCTGCGGGCAGGTGACCTTGCGACGCTCCACGACACCCATGAAGTCCTCCCGGGTCAAGAAGAAGACCTGCGCCCGCGAACTGAGGCCAACTGTGGGGTTGGTCTGCCAAGAGGGGGTTGAAGGCTGTTCTGGGCCCCTTTTTCTCCCATGTTTCATGTACCACCTGTCTTGGACCCTCCATGAAAGGTCCTGGTACAGGAGCCCTCTAGGATCTCTCAACCTCTCTTGGCGCACTGGGGTGGCACCGCCGCTCAGGTGGGATTAGGACAAAAAGGGGTTGACGAGTTCGAGGCGGGGTGAGAAGATCTGAAGCCCACAAGGGGGCGGGGAAGACGTCCTTTAGACGTCCTTTTCTTTGTTGTCTTTGTTTCTAGCGATGGCCTCCAACCGAGCGGCCTCCAATCTAGGCTCATTGAGTCGGAGTCTCGGTCGACTTCGCCGCTCGACGGATCGTTCGCACGCGGTGTGTCTTTTGCTCTTACGAGTCAAAGGAGCAGGGCCAGGCTTGCCAGGATCAGGATCAATTTTGATCCAGGAACTGTTCAATCAAACCTCAGGTGATTTCTCCAAACCTCAGGGTACCTCTTCTGAAAAATCAATCCTGCTCATGACACGCTTCCTTCCAATAGCCTTTGGCCGTGCCACCAGCTCCTTTTGGTCCACCGCGAAGTTCAAACATGGTCTCTGACCATTGAAGAATCTTCTTACAGCTGGGGCGGGTGTCACACACGCGCTGGGCGTCACGTAAGGTGCGAAAGGGACGGCAAAGCAAATCGCAATGTCCGACGTTGGTTTGAAGCTCTCCTTGAAGCTTGCTTCAGGAAGCTGAGGGAGGACACATTTCTTCATCAATCGGGGAACATTGAACAGAACCGCTTATCTAAAAGCAAACTCCACAAACCTCTACGCGAACTCAGTCTGATATCTGCCCATGCACAACATCACCAAATAACAAAAACAGCACAAATTAATACATGCAAATTGTATAGAAATTATGACCAAACTCCATCCAATTCCCCCCAACAAGGAAAGGAAATCTATCAAACACACCTTTTCAAGGACAAACCATCCGCTCTCCAAATCAATCCGGGTCCGCTAATCCCATTTTTCTCAAGGAAAGCTAAGAGAAAAAGAACACGTCACAACCCTTTAAATCCAGATCCAGTTTCTGTAGCTACAGCTTTGCTTCGCCGCCCTCTTCCGCCGACCCTCCGCCGCCACGAAGCTCTCCGCTGCCCGCAGCGTGGTGAGGACGTCGGCTCGGAGGAGCCACAGATCCGTGGAGTAGCCTGAAGCGAGCTCCGCTCGGTGGTTGAACCAAAGACCCATCTGTATAAATGGTCTGAAGGGAACAAGGCAAAAAGGGCCAGTCCAATCCGCAAACGCCACGTTAACAATAGAGATAGGTGCTGCAGACTGTGCTGCAGTACTATATGCATGTATTATAAGTATAATTATAACTAATTACATAAGGTATGTTTCTAGTTTGTTGTATATATAACTACAATATCCAATGCCATGTATCATGTATCCATGATTTGACATGTGGACATACCTGTCATGGATATTCTCCTGTTCTCGCTCTATCTCTGTGCAGGCTGCACGCTCCTTCGCCACCCCTGGCACATCTCAGACCTCAGCGACCTCTGTTTTGGACTGCCAACCCTTGAACGTATGGGTTACTGTCAAAACTCAGGTTGCACAGGGTCTCTGGTATAGATACCCTACAAGTCAAAGACCTCATTTTACTGGAGATGGTCATACAAAACCAATACTTACTGAGGTAAAAGACCAGGCTTTACTGGGTCAGATTGGACTTGTAGGGATACATTGGGTATCTCCATAGTATCTCCCGTTTCCAGGGCCCGGTGTAGGATGGTTTGGTTCCAGGCCCGGCATCAGCAACATCAACATCCGTTGCCGACAGGGACCATGGGATTTTGCGGGATGCCGTGGGCACAAATGCAATGGTTTCGGGGAAAGAGACTTCAAAACATCGCATGTCCCCAAACCCAGCACCTGGAGGGGTCTTTGCGGGAGCCAGCTCATCAATCTTCTTGGCGTCACAGTCTTCCATCACGCTGGCCACAACGGCGTCCCATAAATTTCGCACACTCGAGCTGTTCCTTGGATCATGGCTTCTCTAAGCAGGCCAAAACGCTTTCACCAGGGGGCTTGAAAAAAACAACCCCAAAAAGGGCGCCTTCACCATCTGAAGAAATGCACCTCAAGTAGAAAAAAAACACAAACCTGGACCCTATAGTTGGCTTTGCTCAATTGAGGAACCTGGATCATATTCCCCGGAAAGGGCTGTAGGGCAACAAAAAATCGAAAAAATCACCTGGATATGGCAAAACCACCCGACCCAAAAGCGGGAGAAAACTCAACTCGCCCGGGCTTCGGATCATTGATCTGTTCTCCTTCGCAAGTCAGGCCCAGTGGAATGAGCAAACAATGAAAAGGCCGTGGAGAGAGTTTCTGCAAGGTCGACAGGGCATCTCTTGCTCGATCCGTATGATCAAACTCCAACATCACCACCTTGATCTTGCCAGCTCCCAGCAGTTGGCTGCCCGAGAGAAAGGCATCACCCTCACAGCCCTGGCAGTCGGCTTTCAAGAAGCAAATCTCTGCACCAGGGTCGATGAGGTCGTCTAATCGGTACGATGGCACTTTCAGACTCTTGGCGCGCGCCTGGCGCTCCGCCGCGCGCGTGCCGGACTTGGTTAAGGAGGCCTCCACGTAAAGGGGCGCTCGGTCCTGGGAGAGGCCCGCGTTCACGATGCGCACGCGGGAGCTCCAGCCATTCAATCGAACCTCAGTTCCAAGTGATTCGAGGCCAAAAAACGGAACTGAATGGATGAGAATCTCGATACCATGGTCTCTATACACCACTGCTCGGGTCTTTTGGACACCTGCACCTCCTTCGAATGTCACGTGATGACTTGCCTCACCTGACGGCCCGCCTCATGCACCACCCGACCCTCGCGATTCTCACCTCCAAGCCGGGCCGGATCGATTCCGAGGCCCGAGGCACGGTCTTCTTTCCAAACTCCAATGGTGCTGGATTGGGCTCAAAGGCGAGGACATTCTTCTGAAAAGCCGCCGCCAGCGCTGTGTACCAGCCAATGTTCATGCCAATATCCACCACCAAGCAATCAGACTCCTTAGATGTGGCGAAAACAACGGCCGTGCAAGGCTCAAAACCAGTGTTGACATGCACTTGTGTTTGAATCGCCTGTCAAATGGTTTTGTTATTCGCTCTATGGCCAACATGTTCCTCAGTACATTGCGAGCCTGGGTAACTGAGTTGGTCAGTAAAAAAATGTCACTCATGCTAATCTTACAAATATGCATCACTGGCATTTTCACGCGGAGAAGCCTTATACTGATTGCTTTTGTTGAGATCGATGAAAAGAAAACATGGCATTCGCATGATGACGGGGGGATGGGACATCGACGCGGACCAGAAATGTGAACCTCAACTTCTGCCAGAGTGGCAGGGCCACAGGCGACCTCTAGGGCCCAGGTCATCAAGAAGGTGAGGCCTCCTTCCCAGATCTTCTCCCTTCGAATGGCATTGGTCGGATGATCATCGCCATAACTCGACACGACATGATGCCAGTGTGGCCGCGGCAAGGCCACCACCACCGTATCCGAGCTCATGGATCGCGTGACACCGCGTTCGGAGTGCGATGAGGGGGCGCATTGTTCGAGGGAAAAGTTGCGTAAGCTTTCAGGTTCCAAGCTGTAGTTCGGTGTCTCCACAAATGAAGGCCTCTTCATCTTCACCTTGCCCACCTTTTCCATCTTCTCGGTGGCATTGGATGCTAGGCGATGCCCCAGTGGGTGCGAGGAAGAGAGATCTGACAGAAAGTAGTTGCAAAAGAAGCCGCCGATCAACATAGAACTTGTGAACTTCATCACGCACCATATTCGCACCATGGCTGCGTATGCAATTCGCGCGGGCACTGACGCCCACGATGAATGATGTGGCTGAAATGTGTATTGACATGAAAGGAGAGTGACCCCCCCACTTTCCGCGAAAAGCACTCAGAATAGGGGGCCTTTGGCATAACAGTTCCCTTGCCCCCATTCTTTGGGTGCCTGCCTTGTTAACCGAACCTGTCCCTTTGGATGATACATGATGATACCAAGCCTCGAGCCATAAAAGGAGCAAGAGTGGACAATCTCATCATCTTTGCCTTCTTGGATGCTCACCTCACAATCAAATTCACGTGGCCGGCAGAACATCAGTCCTCCTTGTTTTGGCTCCGTTGATCGGGCATGGCTTCACCGGTGCTGAAAAACCAGGTGCCATAAGGGCCATGGGAGACACACGGGCAACGAGCCGAAGGTGGAGGATGGGTTTATCATAGGAGCCATCATCTCCTTGGCGATTTAGATTTCTGACCCTTCAGGTCTGAAGTCTTCAGGTCGATTTCTCGACCTGCCGAGATCTCCAGAAGTCTGCAAGACTTAAGAAAGGGCAGAGACGACTGAATCCTGCTATTCATGTTCCAGAACAACTCTTTGAAACACAAGACTTTTATACTCGACGTCCTCATACTTCCTCCACTCGATCGCTGTTGCCCAGGTTTCGAACTTTCGACTCAAGGCATTGTCACCACCCGTCTCATCCTCGTCTCACCTCGATGTAGGTCAGGGCAAAGCCCGCCACCGGGCGGATGAGGCTAGTGTCCGACAAAACGAAGTCCTGGCAGATTCCGATGAGGTTTCAGTGTATGATGATGGGGCACTGGTTTCAGGCCGAGATCCATCTCTAGTGATGTTCTTATAACTTAAGTTTACATGTGTGTTACATTGTGTTACTAATTAGGTCATAGGAAGCCACACATCGTCATGAAAAAAACAATAAGCAACAAACTTCTGGCAAATGCGGGGCTTTAGAGGTGGTTGGATCTTCTAACTTCCACATCCCATGCCCAAAACGATCCATGGGACAGCAAAAAACATGGTGGTTAGGTGGTGAATGTAGGTCATATATTTACTTACTTACTTACTTACTTGCTTCCTTCCCCTCTTACTTACTTACTTACTTGCTTGCTTGCTTACTTACTTACTTACTTACTTACTTATGGATCCTCTGGGATGGCGACCCCCACAACCATCTCACGGACCCTCACCCTCCCCCTCCTTTTCCTCGTTTTTGACGGGACGCACCCGTTCGATGAGCGAGGGGTCGGGGGGTTGACCGTCCTCGCCCCAGACCACGCCGTTCTGACCCACACGGCTATTGAGCGCGACCAAGCCCTTGGAGAGGATGTAGAGCACCTGGACGTGGAGGCTCCGTCGTTCGCCGTGGTGATCGACTGAGCCGTGCGGGCGAACGGAAATGTTTTTCAATACGGAAGAGCGCGCGGCAACAACAAGGGGTTCTATAGAGCGATCAGTATTACACACCCGAAGATTAAGATGGAACCTGAGAATGGACCTTTGGAAGACTCTTTTCCTTTATACCCAGGGGTTGTCAACTTCCATGTTAATCTTCTGGGGTGTATATGATCAACTCATGGGCCAAAAGGAGGTTTTGACCAAATTGAGCATACTTGAGCTGCTCATGTGACCTCTCAAATCTTTCCTGTCTGCCATCTAGTTAGCACATTCAGCCCCAAGAAAATCTGCCTGAAGGTCCCTTCAATGACCTCCCCTTCTACAAAATTCCATACCACCCACCACATCCACCCATCTTGGGCCTCAGAGGGTTTATAGAGACCTGATCCTAGAGGGCTTTATAGAGACCTGATCCTGTAGCGGCACGTGCCGTCGACCCGGAACTCGTACCTTAAACGGGTACAATTTACCAATTGATTTTCGATATAGGTACATCTGGCACTTTTTACTATACACCTCCTTTTATTACATATGTCATGTCCCATTTTCTATCGGGTACTTAAAACCTTGTCCAGCTGCAAGTACAAGTTCAGTGCGAGAACCCCCCCACAAAAAATGCTTGGCTGCTTGACAGACCTTAATGTAGACTCTCGATTGACACCCCCCATATGAAGAGCCTGTTCAATCCAAATTGAGACGAATTGGGATGGGTTTTCATTCATCAAGAGTCGAATACATATGACAAAATCCATCCTTCGTGCTGTTTCACCTCTTTCCAGCGACCTGGACAACCCGCCGCAACGACCTGGACATTGTCGAAGATCTCCCGCTGGGCAAACGCGGCGACCTTCAGCTCGCGGCTCACTTCGGCGATGCAAGCGCGGAAGGGCGCCGTGTGGATCCTGAAGGCTCGTCCGGCGGAGAGGCTGGAGCTGGGAGATGGGGATGGGATGGAGGTTGGAGTGGGAGGTGGGGAATGGAGGTTTGGGGATCTGAACACGGGTTAGGTGGAGAGATCCTGGTAAACCTAAAGGATGATGCGATTTCGGATCTGCTTCGTTGAGGCGGGGGGTGCCTCCTGAACACGTAGCTCCGCACGAAAGTTGCAACAAAGCAATCGGCACATGCCTGGTTCTCCTGTTCGTGACCGAACTTCATCCCTGGGTGAAGTGAAGTCACGAACACACCTGCCAAAGGGGTCGCCGCAAAGGACTCCCACCAAGGTCACGAACTGAAGAAGCTGGTGGAAAAAGAAGTGCCTCATTGCCTCATTCTAAGCTATAGTCTAGAAGATGGCGAAACAATCTTCACCGGTTGTTCATAGCTGTCCAGTTGGTTTCGGTTCTGAGTCTCCGGGTGCTCTGAAGGGGAGCACGGTCTCGACCGAGACCCTGAGCCACCCAGGCTCAGCGGCAGACCCAAATCCCAAGTCCAGTCTGCCCCAGTGAAACCTGGTCGACTTGACCTCCTTAAGTATTGGTTTTGTATGACAATGACCATCTCCAGTAAAATGAGGTCTTCGACTTGTAGGGAATGCTCAACTCTTTGGTTTCATCTGTTCCCCGGGTACTCCAGGAGGAAAACGCAACTTTGATCGGTCCCTTGCAACGTGTCCCACCAGTGGAGGCCTGGCTTCTTTTTATAGAAACCTGAACTTCGCCCCAAGTAAGTCCCGGCACCCGACTTCCACAAACCAACGGAATTCACTCTGGAAGACGCAGAGTGAATTCAACTTTAAGGCACTTCGCGAAAGAGAAATCCTAGGGCTCCTGGCCCAGGAGCTTGGGGTGCCTGGGGGGGTTGAAAGGTCCTTCAGGATGGGCCAGGAGGGTCTAGGGAAAGAACCGTTCCGCTGCCGAGGAACCCCTCCATCTCTAAAGCTTCGACCAAGCCCATGAATTGACGGAAGAAGGTCACCTCAAAATTCATCACTGTGGTCGAGGGAGCTGTGGAGATGTGCGTGTGTGTGTTCGATGAGCGTTTCCAACGTAAAATCAAGTTGTTGATGGGACCCACTTGTGAAATAGTGAGGGTTGCGCTCTGGTTCATCATGGAAACCGTTCCAACAACTGGTGAAATAGTTGTATCCGCTCCTCTCCGCCAAAATGATGGGGAAGCATGATGGTGAGCCGCACAGTGGCTGCCGAATGTTGCGGGAGGGTCAAGGAATGTATGCAAATCGCACGCATGTCCTCATAACTTGTTCAAAGTTCCATGACTCTTAGACTCTTACACAAGCATTGAACACCCGCACTCGTGCGGGCGCTTCGCGGCTTCCTCCTCTTACCAGCTTGCTTAGCTTGGTGGTTGTATCGATTTTTTCGCTTCCCACAAGCTGAGTTTCTTATTTATATTCGATCTATTTTTAGTTATACTTCTATTACATTTATACAAAGATCTCTCAATACCTATCACTAAGTGTGATCGTTTTCCTGCAACTGAGTTTGATTTTGCAAGAGATTCTCCTGAAATTGGCAAAGTCCTCAGGAATTCGCCGCGCCCAGTGCCGAAAGGACACCCACCACCCTTCAGAACCTCCCCCCCCACCGTTGGGGACCACCATCTTCCGGGGAAAAAAACATTCAGCACGGCGGAGGCGTGGCACCTTTTGGATCCATGGAAGGTTCAAGGCGGTACATACTTCCGCGTGAAGTTGAGGGCTCAAATGATCCAACCTCGGCTGGTTGGTCTCGAAGGCGAGATGCGTGGCTGGAGAGGGCTTTGGTCCGGACACGACACGCCGCGGCGGTGGTTTGAGAGTGCGAGTTGATTCACTATAGACGACGAGCGCGGAAGATGAAGGGGGCTCAAAAGAAGAGGTCAAAAAGATATTTTTTGGGGACCAGGGAAGTTCCAAAGTGAGGACACCTTGTGGACACTGGGCTGGGGCGAAGTTTGTTGATAAACGAAGACCGAGTCTAAATAAATGTGTTTGGTGTTCGGAGCTGTTTAGATATGCACCGGCACAGGGGGACGAAAAGAAGTATTAAAAAACTATAATTATCAGGTCGGTATAGTATAATAGAAGCTAAACCGAGTTGAATAATCTGATCTCCAAACAGTGTTGCCCAAACACCGGGTGCTCCAAAGCATGTCTCCTGCAGAGATTCACAAAACAGCGCAGCACAAAACGGCGAGCCACAGCTTCTGCCGCGTCAAGTGTTGCGCTTGATGTCGATTCTGCAAGAAGAAGCTCCGCAAACGACAGCGGAGCGAAGCTGGAAGCCCTTGCTCTTCCATGAGGGAGTTCAAGTGATGCCTGCAAATGTTCGCAGGCTTTCAAACCAGCGGACGAGCGCTGAAGCGGAGCTCGTACCCCAAAAACCAGTTGGCTTAAGAGCTGGTGTCATTAAGACTCTCCCAGTGGAGGCCCCGTGGCAGCCTAGTAGCGGTGTAGCAAGAGGGATTCGTGTTCTTCCATCATCCTGCACCCCCAAAACCCCTCCAACCTCACCCCACCCCAAAACCATCAGTGAATTAGCTCCATCTTCTTTTCAACCCCCAACCCCCTCTGAAAACTCGACTCCCGGCATCTTCTTCCGGAAGCGTTGACTCTCCGCGGTCATCTCCGAGACGATGGCACAGACCTTACTTTGCTGTTCCAGGCTGGTCCTTTGCTGTCTGGGTTTCACCTGTGGTCAAGTCAGAAACCCCTTCCAAACCAAACACTTAAACAAGGACATGACTCAAAAAAACACAAATTTCACCTATGTTCGTCTCAGCACATCCCTTCTAAACCAACATGGCACATGACTCACACCTCACATCCCCATGTTGGAGCAGAAAAGCCACACAAGAAGTTGCCTCCTTTCCTTCCTCCTGTCCCCTGGTCCGATCCCGTCCCCGATCCAAGTACAAGCCATCCGCTCCAAGACGTTTCGCGGACCGAAGTCGCCATAGCCTCGGAGCGTGGAGGCTGCGTTCTGCGTGGAGGTCGGGAGGGGGTGCCGGGTGGAACGGTGCGTGGAGGCTGCGTTCCGCGGCCGCCCATTCAGTTTTGGGGGGTGTGGGAGCACAGGTGCTCCCAGGAGCCCGGGGGGGAGGTGCTTTTCTTTTTGTTTCTGCTTTTTTTGAGATTGGTGGTGCGATGTGGTGCATTTCTGGTGGATGATGATGACAGAAAATCTCTAAGGATGTTTCCCGGAAACATAACGAAATCTTCGAAGAGAGTAGACTGAGTATAGGCTTATAGAATAACATATTCATTTGCGGGCTGGCTCTGCTAGGCACTGTACACCCAGAACTTCCGGTCTAACCCATTACAACCCCACCTGGAAGTGATACCACTATTATGGGGATCAAATGGGGCATGGGGACTCTCGGGGGCATATGGAAAAATTCAGCTATAGGATCAGCTAGGTATCTGAGAGTTGCCCCATTCACCCACCTCTTTGCATGGAGACTTTTGCCGAAGTTGATCGCCATTCCGGTTCAAGAAGGTTCATTAATTAACTGGTTTCGCTGGACGTCGCCCCATGTTCCGAGCTAAAAACAGGTCGACTCCGGGCCCTACTATACTTCATTCATGCGTTATACGTTCAATGCCACCGCCTGTCACTATAGATTCGAGCTATTTCGGAGATCCACTTGACAACTCAACACCTGCGATGACGGCCCGATGGTTGTTCGGCAGTCGATCATCGTCGGGGGACTCGTCATCTCGTCATCTCCGTTTCGGTGGGACGACCGGGGCCCGGGTCCAGGACCCTACCGAAGCGCTGAGGTGAACGGTACGAAAACGGTCCACAGCCGGAGTTCAGGACTCGCCAGTCCAGTGAGTCGGAAGATTGGTTCACCTCTCTGGAGAACGAGAGAACGGCAACTTGAAGGCATATTGTCAGTGATACTCCCGAAAACCAGTAGCTTTTGGCCATGAATATGCCATTCGTCATTCACCCGATGCATCAGGTTAGGCCCACCCTCAGCCAGCGCGTTCGCGCGCGCGCCCAGGGGGGGGTCTGGATGATCCGGCGAGTTCGCCCAGCCACGAAGGCACAAGCATAGCTAAAGCAGAATTCCAAGTCACCCACACTGGTCATGGTGTAGCAGCAAAAGTAGTAGCTGGCGATATAGATGCCTCAAATGGCTGACATCGCGCTCTGAAAACGCGTTTGAACAGCCCAAAACCACGAAGAACACATCCTTGAAACAGGACCTTCCCATACCGTCCTTGAGATCTCAGAATGAGGTCACGAACAGGTCTGCAAAAATGATCACCCATTCACCAATCCTCAAATGGTCACGAAGAACGTCCTGGACCACTTGGACGCGTTCAACGGGGTCATGCATCGGGTCACACCGTTCACATCGGGTCACGGTGACGATCGAAGAGACACCACGGCCGGACGACACCAGTCGTCTCCCCCAACAGACCGGACTGAAAATGGACTGTTTCGCGGACTGCGCGCGAAAGCAAGAACTGCCAGTAGACTCTTGATTCATCAAACCCCCCCAGACATGTATTATACCAGGTGACCCCAAGGGGTCACCAATTATTTTTGATTTTGTATGTTGGTAAGGGGTCTCAATTAGAGACCCGTTAGAGCATCAAAAAGGAATCTTGAAAAAAGATAAGGGTTATCCCTCATTCCATCCTCATCCCTCAGCGGCCTGTGGAAAGCTCCTTTTCCAGCACGAGCTTGAAAGGAGGTGGCTCTGGCTCGCTTGATGGATGATTTCAGCAAGATAGAGCAGTGGTTAATTGATCCAGGTGATGGTCAATCCCAAAAAAATCTTATAAAAGATCTAAGAGTATATCACACAATCACCCATTCATGAGCTGGCGAAGATAACGAACACAGCAGTAGGCAGCATATCGTTGAAGACATTGGTAACCTAGTCTGGATGGGTGGCATTTTTTGGCCACCGCTTTGCACTTTCCAATTAGGTCCTCGTCACTGTAATTTGCTACAGCGAGAGGGTTCACATAGGGCGCCATGTCTTGACATAGGTGTTCCAGCCTAGGATGCGAACGATATTATAGATCAAACAAAAGTGTGTGATTTGCCTTTGTTCAGCCAAGCAACTTATGCAATTTGGGGCGTATCTTCCACAGCATTCGTTGGGACTGCACTGCTCGAGTCGCCAATCCTGGGCATCAACATCTCTGAGAGAACAACCACTGAATTCAAAGCTGCAAATGATTGGAAACAAGGTGCCATTGTGGCACGCTCTAAAGAGAAGGAAGGCACTTTGGAGCATATCCAAGTTGGATTTCCCCAGCTTGAAGAAATGCGGCTGGACATTTCGGGGACTGATTGCATCCCGCATTGCACAAAGATTCACAAAGAGACTCGCTCGCAGCCTCAATGAAACTGAAATTTAAGGAGTCCATCATCCAGGGAAAACATGAAACCGATCAATGCTGCCAAACAAATCAACATGCTTGTGAGTAGCGCATGGTGCTCATCATTTGGATATGCAGAACTTACCTTCAGGCATACTCCTTTCAACCAGATTCCAAGAACCACACACTCCTTGGAGAGTAGACAGATGCACAGTCATGTTTCTATGGCTAAACGCATGGGGCGCACTCACACATATATATATATATATAAGTCTCTCCAGACAAGGGGCTGATCCGTTGAAAAACTTCTGGACAAGGGTGGGGTAGTTGTTCACACCCAGTGGATACATAGATTTCCTGAGATCCAACAACAGGCTTAACAAACGACTCATTCAGACCCAAACTCACATGTTTGTTTGTTGTCAAGCCAAAGATGCAAACTGAAAATTTTCCCTCGGTTTCCTCAGCTCGAGCAACCCACCAATAATACCTTTGTCACAGGAAGCAAATTCAACCCAAGGCACGTACTCCATGAGCTCGGCAAGCATTGTTGAAATCCACATATGCCAATCTCAGGCGCTCATCTACACTGCTTGCTGAATATAGGAGGTTGGTCTCGGTCAATTCGATCAGTGCCTTGGCTACACAAAAAAAACAAGAAGAACTCTTGGGATTTCTCACATTCAACTTAATCTATTGGAATGGCCCACCAAGCTACTGAGGCAGCACATTCGGGCAAGATAGCTAGATCCACAAGATGCAACCAATCCAGCACAACACATTGTAGCTGAAATCCCGGTATGCGGCACCATGCGTTATTGCGAAATCCCCCTTCAAAAAACTCAGCATTGGTCTTGAGAGTTTTGCGATGAGCAGATGCTGGACCAAAGCTTGAATAAGTTAGGGGCCCTGTGTCCTTCGATGCCTGGCAGTATGCACACACTGAATGACTGACCCAGCTCTGCTGCAATTTCAGTGCCCTTTGGACAAATTTTTCATCTCCTTTCCAAAAGGTGAGGATCCCACGATACTTCCCTGCAATTGCCCCTGCATTGCCCCGAAGAAAACCCATCAGCCTCATCCTCATTGAAAGGACTCACACTGAAAAATTGTCCATGCTGGAGCTCCATGAAGGAATAGGCAGCCCAAGCATCTAAGACATCCCATGTCTCCTCAACGCACCTGTTGACATCTGTGAGGTAGATCAGGTATTTGGAGTCAAAAGGACTCTTTCCTGACACAAGAAGGCTGCTGAAACTACAAACGCAGAAACTCCGTCTTCTATGGGCATCCGCTTCATCCCCGTGGAAGACCAATGGTATGCAAAATGCTTTGTCGACAGCCTCACTGTCAGGCAAGTAAGGACTGCAGCATTTCATCCAGGCCATTCTGCTTCATAAACCAAAAAAAACTTTCAACATTCGTGCCATTCAAAGAAACTGGGTCGCTCAATATTGGGTGCTCACGATACCAGACAGTGTTCTCCATTCCGTGCCAGAATGCTTCTATTGCCTCAGATTTGTTACAAGGCAATCAAACCCCAACACCATATTTTAAACCAACCATGTGCATATTGTTGGAAAGTAACTCCAGGTGGTCCCAAGAACCGCTCCTCAAAAAGCCGCTGATCATATGTCCAAAAGGAATGAAACCTTGGCTTCGCCATGGAAATGCCCCCCCAAAGCCCCAAGCACATGACACAATTTGGGATCAGCAGCACATCCGCAGGCAGGAAAACATGCCACTTGTCTAAATGATGTGGTGGCTGCTTGTGGTGGTCATACAGTACCACGTCCACCCTTAGCACAGTGATCGATAAAACCCAACATCTTCTAGCAACCCCAACGATGCATAAAATAATACACGACCAAGGGACTCCCGTGGAAGTGGAAACATTTTTCTCCAAGATTGTTTGTTCAGCCAACGCCAAAATCTCGTGGCCCCATGAAGAGAATCTGCTTCACACTTGTCAGCTAAATCCTTCAGATTTGTCCTAAGTCATTACAAGTCCGATGAACAACATTAACTCGTAGGACTCAGGCAACAACAAACACAGAGGCACAAAGCCCAGCCACGGCAACATGTGTCCAGGAATCCTCCGTCGCAAGACTTTGAACATTTCTATCAAAGTCCTCGTGCTCACCTTGCAAAAATAAATCATTGGTTCAGTTGTTTTACCACAAAGGTGGAAACTGTCAAACCTTGACAAGGTGCATCTTTACCCAGCTCCAGAAATTCTTCCACAATATCCAGAAGCGACATGGTCGAGGGCAATTGCTATCAATATTTAATGCTGTATGCCACAGTAGGCCAAAGGGAACCTGTTTAATTATGAAGGAATCAAACCATACTATGAGTTCTGTTGAAGCGTGTTGAAACCCGTTAGAATGACAAATACGGTATGCATGCACACTGTCTTCCAACCCCAAGAAGACTTCGGAACATATGTGCTCATTCCAAGACAAACGTAACATGCAGGCTAGACTTGCAAAGATTGCGTAACATATTGCAAAGTTTTCTTGTTCCACTGCGATTGCATGGATCCTGCCTCCCATGGGCAATGTTGTTAATACAACAGCAGCCACGTGACAGGAAAGAACTAAAGGGGTCTTTGCACCCAAGACCGCGTGGGTGCCCAGCCAGCCTGAACCCAGGATCTCCTTTGGGATCCTCAGAATGGGACCTGGTGATATCACCCTGCGACCAACATACCTTTCCCCTACTAAACATCAATCATTCGGAAAAACACATATGTTTGGAGAATGTTCAGGGTCTTTCAGTGTTCTCAGGTGGCTGGGCCTTCCATTGTTCACCAAAAGCTTTACAGTTTGTTCTGGATGTGCTCGGGACATTTCACCAACAAAGAAATGATTGGGATTGTGGAATGCACAGGTTGTTCTGTTAGGTAGACGCCCAAGCCTCATCACCACCTCAGTTGGAATGATACTCTTCATCACTCCCTGATGCCTCAGCTGTTGCAGCCTTTTTTTTGGGCTTTGGACCCTTGGCAGTGGACACCCGACGTTTGGCATCCTTCAAATCCAAGAGCATGGTTTTGGTTTTATCCTTGATGGTTTGGATGTAGGACACCCATTCCTCGGAATCTACATGGCCGATCGGAACATTGCTCTTCGCTTCAGTTTCACTGGCCATCTCACGTGCCAATGGTAGGTGGTCTCGCAAGCAGGTCACCTCAGATTAAGTATAATGTTTTGGGAACCTTTGTGATACACATTTGTGAAATGACAACTTCTGCTCGCAAAGGACGGTTTGTTGATATCATAAGCCACTCAAATGCTCTCGTGGGACTTGCAACTATTATGACGAGTTTGGACAAAGCACCATGTCAAAACAAGACACCAGCTCTGCACAGTTCCTGACATGGTATTCATCGATCTCCAGCAGGACAGTATCGATATCATTCGCTGTGCCCTTCATCCTGAGTTGATTTCAAACTCAGCAGTGTTTTTGTTTGGAATTGTTCAGAGTGTTTTGGCATCACCCCCAATGAGATCAAGGAACTTCTTTGCAGTTTTCTTCATCTCCTGGGCCACCTCTTCCTCTTTTGTTTTTTCCTTCTTTGGTTTCTTGACTTTCAGGGTCCCTGTTTTGAGGTCCAAGAATGCAGGATCCGATGCTGCCATCAACCCCCCAAGCTGCTTTTGCACCTAAGCTTTGGTTTCCTTGTCTCGGATGCGTCCAGAAAGGCTCACCTTAGATGCCCCCAGCTGTAAAGTTGACCCCTTTAACAAAGACACATCGTGAAACAAGTCACAGTAGTCTGGCCCATG